CAAAGCATGTAGCTTCACTAAAATCTACATAGAAAGTTTATTTTCTCAGATTGAATATCCCCATCCCTGAGGTAAAACTGTAATGAATGACATCTCACCGACTGCTCAGGCAGATCTTGTTTTGCGCTCCTAGATAATATACCGTAATTGGATCGCAGAAAACATAAAACTGTATTTTAAACAATGTTCAGGGAGGCTGAAGGAAAAGAAAAAAACCACTTTGCCCAAATTAGTTTTCAAGCTTGGAAGATGAATGTTGAGTTTTCCACAATACAACTTTTTACTCTCTTTCTCCCATGCTCGTGTTCCACCTCTCTCCTGCCTTTCTTCTTTCTTCCTTTTTATATTCATAGAGTTGGATTGGGCCATGGAACGACTGAATACATATTTACCAGCTTTCTAAAGCTTTGTTCCATGTGGTCCATTTTTTCTGAACCTGTGTGGAAATTCTAGGCCCCCTTTGTGCTTAATCTTAAAAAGATGGGTAGCATATCCCACTGATTATCTCAAAGAAGAATGAGTAGGCATCCTCCTGCTAAATAACTATTAATTTCACCTTCCACCGAGATTTTGTTTTTCCTATACTCATAAAATCATATTTTAGGCATAACTGGAGCTTGCCTTCTTGACAACAAGATTCTCCTACAAAGCTAGAATTGATGAGCTAAGTGAACCGAGCCCATATTGTCAGCATGATTTATTGATTGTATAGAGACCATTTAGTTATTTATTAGATTTTTATCCCACTTTTATTACCTTATAAGTAACTCAACTTCTTTCCTTTATGGTCAATTATCAACACTAAAAGAACCAGCAGTCAAAAAATGTCTTACACCGGGGTGTCAAACTCAAGGCCCATGGGTCAGATGCGGCCCACAAGGTACTTATAACTGGCCCATGGGGCCACCCTGTTTCCACCCTGGAAACAGCAAAGGACTGGCCGGATGTGCCTCTGCCAGTCAAAATGGAGCTAGGGAGGGCCGCTTATGGCCCACCCGATCTGCGTTTTAGACTGCGATGGCCTCCTGCAGCCCTCTGCCAGCGAAAACAGAGCTTGGGAGGGCTGTGCACCACCTTCCTAAGCTCTGTTTTTGCTGGAAGAGTGCTTGGGCCGCCACAGGCGCCCCCAACACAAGTGACATCAAGCTGGCCATGCCCACCTTGGCCATGCCCACCAGCCGCCCCGAGGTCAAACATAACCCTGATGTGGCCCTCAATGAAATTGAGTTTGACACCCCTGTTTTACACTAACATTTGTTAGAGTAGTAATGAATGCCTTGGAAAAGATAGTTAGTTGCTGAGATGTATTATCAGAATGGTAAAGGCAATGGTTTTCTTCATTGCATCTTAGGGAAGTAAACATTGGACATTGACAAAGCAAGACAGAAAGAGTATTGATGCTTTTGATTTTTGGCATTGGAGAAGATTCCAAAGAGTTCCATGCTTAAAAAACAAAAAGATGGGTTGTTGAATAAACCAACAGGAGTTCTTACTCAAGTCACAGATGATCAGGCTAAAATTATCCTACTTCGGATACATAATGTGAAGACTCAGCATTCTGGAAAAGAGTCTAGTACTGGGAAAGGTGAAAGAAGAGAGAAGGGGACAACCAGCAACAAGGTGGATGGACTCATTTACAGTGATGATGAGTCTGCTTTTTGGAAGACTTGAAAGAACAAGTTAGGGATATAGTATTGTGAGAAAATCTGTCTATCAACAGACAGATAGATCAACAACTTGATGGTGTCAGGTTACGATGTCGTCTCAAATAAATTGCATTTCCAAACAAATAGTCTTTGATGAAATCTTTCATTTATTGAGCACAACAATCTGTCCCCAACTCCATCATAGTCAGCACTGACCTTCTGACCCCAAACCCTCCCTTTCTGTTCCTCAATTCTCTGCGTCTCATTGGCCCTCTTCCAAGTCACTCTCCCCATATCTACTACTTCAGCTCACAGGAATGTCCCCCCTCCCATCCCATCTCCTAGGGGATAATATCTTCAGGGAAAATAAGTAGGTGAAGAGTCAAGCGTCCTCTTCTCTTCCTTATGTCAGCACTGGAGTGCGGACAGATGGTACATAATCAATCTACCACATTAATTATTTCTAAATTGATAAAAAATGTAACATTTTCTTTAAATTGCAGCAAATATTTTAAATCCCTTTCGGTACATAGGAAAATATTCAAGGGACCTATAATTTCCCTTGAGTTTTAGTTTTACACATGTGGACGATCATAGCACAGAGTAGCATAAATCCACAATAAGGCATTATAATAAGCTTGGTTTCACTCATGCTATTTCTTCTGTGAAGCCCGAAGTATGATTATGAACTATCCAAGTTAATTGCAATAGCCCCTGCCTAATGTCCATCGTCTAATCAGAATAGCAAGTTGCGTTTCAACTTGTTCCAGATGTAATTCCACATATTCAGATCTTCCAAAACTGTAGAAACCTAGGCAGCATTTAAAGTCCTATAAGTGTTCATGAACTCTGCCCCCAGATTATTATTTTTTTTTTACTTTTGAGTGAATCTTTTGGGGAAAGATAAAAGGGGGAAAAAAGGAAAATGGTGCTGGCACTATCTGTAATAGCTGCCACTTCCTAAAGAGAAAAATTATATTCTTCTTCCTCCTTGAAAGAGATTTCTTCACCACAGGTGAGCTCATTCAACTAATTTTGCTCTTGAATTCTGGGACTACCACAACATCCATTTCTGCCAGTGGTGAAATCCTCCGTGGGTTGCCACCCATTCGCTGCCTGCGCATGTGTGGTGCATGCCAGATGCATGCTATGTGCACATACATGCACAATGAACACCAAACTCACGCTGCACGTGCATGCACAATGCACACCAAACACATGCATCCGCTCGCATGTGCAGTGTGCACCAAACGCATGCTTCACGTGTAAAAAGGAGCTGTATGAAGGTAAGTAGAAGAGCTAGGGAAGAACAGCTGTGCCGTGCGATTTAGAGTCACTAGAAAGCAGTATTTCCTGATTTCTAGCAAATATAAATTGTGTGGCACAGCTGATCGTCAGAAATACTGGTGTGAACCAGTAGCATTTCACCCCTGATTTCTGCCCATTTTTCTTAGCAAATTGAAACAAAAATAGAATTCTTTATGCCTTCAATCTACCATCACTTTCTGGCTATTTTTTTTTTTTAAATCCAGTTGCAATTATTTAGGAGAAAAGTCAAAATGGGAGAATCTCTTGTCAGACTGGAGGTTTACCATAAATCATGAATTTTTTCTCCCTTACACACTGTTATTTCTGACACCTGGCATTTTAAATTGCCCAAGAAATATCTTTTTTCACTCCTTAGTTTATAAGGTCCCAAGAGAAATAGAGAATTAAGACTAGCATGGGCCAAAGATAATTGTGAAGTAATGCTTTATTACCAGACAAACAAGAAACATTGAAGGAGCAGATTATAATAATTATAATTACCTTTGATACTTGGATTGGGATGATACAGCTAGCATGAAGAACTATTGATAGCTATTTTCTTCATTAAGTTCTCTAACTTGTTACAGGTGCCCCATTTTGAGGTCTTTACTACATATATTAATATTTAGTAACTACATCTTGCATAAATTCGTTCTTTTTATAAAATCTGACCTGAATCTTCCATGACTAGCTTCCCTTGATAATTCCGGTTTCAAGAAAGAAAGAACATGTCTTTTTTGTGCATCATCCCTACACTGAAATAACGATAAAATGTTTATGAAGAAAAAGAGAGCTGCAAGAAATATAATCAAAAGGTGGAAAGAAAAATGTAATATATATATATATATATATATATATATGTCAGATAAAATGCAAATTTTGATGGTGAGGGAATGGAAATGGCAAAGAAAGCTAAACAAGAAGCCCCCAGGAGAGCAAATGGAATTAAAACTAAAAGGAATAACATGATTTGGAATAAAAGTGAAGTGAGGAAATAGTGGAAGGAATATTTCTGGAAGGGAATGTTAGATATATATCAAATAGTGGAATTGAAATTAATGGTTTAAGTTATAGTATATAAGAAAAAATGGTGCAAAGGAAGTCATAAATGATGAGCCGAGGTGGCACAGTGGTTAGAGTACAGTACTGCAGGCTACTTCAGCTGACTGCTAGCTGCAGTTCGGCAGTTCAAATCTCATCGGCTGAAGGTTGACTCAGCCTTCCATCCTTCCGAGGTGGGTAAAATGAGGACCCAGATTGTTGGGGTCAATATGCTGACTCTGTAAATTGCTTAGAGAGGGCTGTAAAAGCACTGTGAAGTGGTATATAAGTCTAAGTGCTATTGCTATTACTATAAATGCTACAAGAAGATTGAAGAGCCTTGGTAGTACAGTGGTTTAATGCACCCTGTAATTAACACAGCTGCCTGCAATTTCTGCAGGTTCGAATCTTACCAGGCTCAAGGTTGACTCAGCTTTCCATCCTTTCTAAGGTAAGTTAAATGAGGACCCAGTTTGTGGGGGCAATAAGCTGACTTTGTATAAATATACAAAAGTATGAAGGCTATTGCTTAACGCATTGTAAGCCGCCCTGAGTCTCCGGAGAAGGGCGGCATATAAATCAAATTAAAAAAAAAAATCAGTAAGATGCAAGTTTTGATTATGAAGCTGAAGAAATGTTAAAACATGCATGAAGTTTACTGAAGTGTCATGTGGTTAACATCTGTTTGAAGATTACATATATGATTGGAAGAATACTGGTATTGTTTCCCTACATCAGAGATGGGGAACGATGGCTCCTTTATTACTTGTGGAATTCTGGGAGTTGAAGTCCATAAAAGGGCCATCCTTCTACCCTACATGAAGAAAGTTAGTAACAGGAAATGTCAGAACTTCAGAATGGTTCATCTTTAAGTGTATCGAGGAAGGTGTTTGTCAGAATTTTGATGAAAGAACAAAGGAAAAAATTGGGGGTTACAGATCACGTATTTTCTCTTTAGAAGAATATGAATTTGAGGGAGAAAATGTATTCTTTGTTGTTTTACAGAAATCTTATGGATAGTTTTGAATGATGAAAAGTTCTTCATGAACTTTTGAAGATTGGTTGATGAACATGATATAAATTATACATGATGGAAGTAAAGCATGTGTGAGCAGGGAGTAAAGCAAGGCTATATGATGCCCTCTTTGTTGTTTAATACATTTATGAATAAATGTATAAGAAATGTTTCAATGGTGTTAGAGATATGTTCATTGGAGACTGAATTTGCATATGTTTTGTTTCCTGATGAAGTCAGGTTATTGGCTGAGAATCCAAATATTTTCAGCAAAGGTTAGAAAATACACTGAACAATTGCACAGAATACAGAATAATAGAGTTGGAAGGGACTTTGTAGATCTTCTAGTACAACCCCCTCTCAAGCAGGAGACCTTATATGATTTCGGAGAAGTGACTGTACAGTCTCTTCTTAAAAGCCTCCAATGATGGAGCACCCACAACTTCTCAAGGCAAGCCATTTCACCAGCTAATTGTTCTCATTGTCAGGAAATTTCTCCTTAGTTTTAGGTTGTTTCTCTCCCTGATTAGTTTCCATATGTAGTTTTTTGTCTTGCCTTCTGGTGCTTTGGAAAATAGGTTGCCCCTCAAATATTGGAACACTGCTATCATGTCATCCCTAGTCCTTCTTTTCTCTAGACTAGTCATACCCGATTCCTGCAACCATACGTATTCAACTTATGAAGTAGATGAATTTGTACATCTAAGTAGAATGTGTACTAAAGATAGTGAAATGACAGAGAAATTTCAAAATGTGCAAAATTTGGAAGAAAAACATTAGATAATACAGAGTGTGTTAGGAAGAATGAGTGCTTGGCAAAAGAACTGAAAATCATCCTCTTTTAACGACCCCATAATCCTTGCGGGGTGGAGTCTGGGCAACTGAATGGAGCTGAGTGTTTACTGACTGGATGCCCTTCCTGTCACCAATGCGGAGGTTTTTTTAGCAGATATATTCTCAGTGTGCCCAAAGAGAAGAATATCTGCCTCTACTTAGGATCGAACTCAAGGATTCCTGACTGTGAGGCGAGAACTCCACCTCTAGGCCACCACACCACTCTGTCAAAAGAACTGAAACTGATGGTGTATAACAGAAAGCTTCTGGCTAGTTCCTTACACAAGAGAGTTGGGTATATCACAAGGAACAAAAAAAGTAAGTTGAATGCAATGGGCAAAAGGCTACCTAAGAAGCGTGTACATGAAGAGTTTTAGGAATGAACAGTCAAGAATAGGTTTTGAATGGACTTCCGGGTTGCTGTTTGTCGCTGCCAGACGTTCCTTTGGGATCGTCAGCTTCCATCGCCTGTTAGAGCCGCCTTCACAACGGAATGGCGGCTCGAAAAAACTCCGTTTCCATGAGGAAACGGAGATAGAGCCGGCAGGGGTGGGTAGAACTCTCTGCGGAGTCCCAAAAGTTTTTTTTTTTACTTTTGGGACGGAGCGGATGAGATGCCCCGTATCCCCAGCCGCCACTCCGGGCTTTGGGAGACCTCTGCTGATGCAGAGCCAGGCGTCAAAAGCAAGCCTGCAAATTTAACAGACTACTCAAAGAAAATGTGAGCTGGACCTGTAATATTGAACCGCAAGTATTTTACTGATTTTTTAAAAAAAATTACTTAAGAGAGAGGAGGAAAAGAAAGAGGAAAAAAAAAGCCTTTTAAAATGGCGTTGGCTGGAGGAGAGGCTGAAAGGGAAAGTCCTTCCGTTTTCTATTACTACAATGTAGCGGAATAAATACCACTGGCTACATTTGTAGACAAAACTTCGCTCCTGTGTCTTTTTCTCTTTTTTTTCCCTTGGAGATCTGATATTGTTGTTGATTGGAAAGAAGTCCTTTTTTTTTTTCTTGCTTGCTTTTTTTTTAACAAAGCCTGCCTGGGCGGAAACATGGCACTGAGACTCATAAAGTCAGATAAACAAGAAGGGGGGGGATCCCCCCACCAACAACTTAAAGGAACAAGTCTTAATTCTTCAGTCTCAGAAACCTGATTTTAATATAATAGAATTTTTTATAGAGGAGATTGAAAGAAGGGAGGAGATTGTGAATCAGCAATTTGAAAAATTTAAGCAGGAAATCAAAGAATTGGTGAAATCTAAGTTTGATTTTTTGGAGAAAAAATTCTCAAAAGTGGTTAATGGTTTTACAGGATTTATGATACAGTTGGACACAAATACTAATGTACTAGAGTCTAAAATGGAAGAAATTCAAGATAAATTGGACAATAGAATTCAAAAAATTGAAAATGATTTGACAAACACTCAGGATAATAGCTTAGAAGAAAAACCTAAAATGGATGCTGATCAAAAGTATGGTAATGCAGAAAATCTGCAACAGAAGATTGAAAAAGAGATTTTAATGGTACAATATAATTTCACAGAATACGCGATAAGATTAAGAGGTTTGCAGGAAAATAATAGAGATGATTTAAGGAAAATATCTTCTGAATTTCTAGCTGGGATTCTAAAGGTTCAACCTGACGAAGTGTTTTGTAGGATCGACAGAGTTTATCGAATCAACTCCTGGATTGCTAAGCAAAGGCAATTGCCTAGAGATGTGGTGATTTATTTTACAGATAAGGAAATTAGGAATAATATCGTTCAAAATTCCTTCAATTCTAATTTGCAATTGTATGGAAGAAAGATTTGGATTTACAAGGAACTCCCACCTAAGATATTGATGGAAAGGAAGAAATTTGGTTTTCTGGTGAATGAGTTAAAAAAGAGAAATATCTCCTACAGGTGGGACGCCCCAGTTGGTATTATATTTAGATACCAAGGAGAAAGATATCAGCTAAATACTGTTGAAAGAGCGGAAGAATTTTATCAAAATAGGTTGAAAATGAACTTAACATCTCCAGGTATAATACAGGATAAGCAGAAGGAGCCGGAAATAAAGGTAAAATACCGAATTACAGAGACTGTACCAGATGAATTGTCTTTGGATTTATTGGATACCCCAGCTGGACTATCTACAAATTTGAGAGAAGAGGCATCTAATCTTAATGTGATGACTTATCAAGGCAAGGATAAACATGGAAATCAATTAGGGGATACACAAGGGATAAAAAAGAAATATGAGATACAAAAGCAAAACCAACAAGACCAATCTACAAAGCAGAATAAAAACCGACCAGATGATACACATTTTGTAGAAAGGGAACCAGGATGGAAACCAAACCCACAAAAAGAAAAGAAAAAAAGAAATAGGTGGCATAAAAATAGAAATTTCTAAATCAGGCAACAGTGAAGCCAGTGATTTTAAAATATGAACGATTATGTGTAAACACAGAAGAGGCGACGTATTGGTTAATATCATCCTGAGGTTTGTGGCAGATCTCTGCATGGCCGTAATCTGGGGACGTGAAACGAGCCTTAAACTGATGGATTTGAATTATCCATTTTGGAATTTTTTTTTGTGTTGATAAACATATTATATTATCTTGAATCACAAGGCAAGAGAATTATGCTGGGGCATGCAGAAGATCGGGTTGTTACCCACTACGATGATGGGAATTAATAATCCTGATGAAACCCACAATTATTACTATATGGAATATAATTATAATGTCACTCGGGTGGTTGTTTTTACTTTTATACATATAAGAAGATATTTACTACTGATGGGGGCAGATATGATTGAAGATCCTGAATAAACTGTTGCACCAGTAAGCTATGTTACCCGATTATGGATGTTGGTTCTACCAATCCAGTGGAAAGACCTCAAAGAAGATACTATATGGATTATAAATTTAAAGTCATTGTCTTTTCTTTTTTTTTATTTAGATATAATGGAAAATATAGACATATATTTTTAAGTAGTGTGGGCAGTGAATCAAAGATTTTAAGAAATGTTGTGTATGGTAATTTTGCATGATAGTGGGTGAATAAGCTAGTTAGTAGATTGATTAGTCTAAGAAAAGGGATTTTTAAGTGTTATATTTAGGGGAGTGGAGGAAATGGATAGAGTTGAATAAATGTTAAATTAGGTTTTATGGGGAAGGCCGCTTTGAAATGTTATATTAATATATATAAAAGATTAAATGTTAAAGTAGGACTTATCGTATAGTTTTAAAGTGGAGAAGTTATTCTATAATGTCATAGTATAATGTCTTTTTTTTCCCCCTTTCTTTTCTCTTTTTTGATATGTATGGATAAAGGGGGATGTTATAATATTAATAATATTTTTAGTAAGTAAAAGTCAATATCTAGAGGAGGGAGTAAGTAATCTGTTATGAATTAGGTTTTTTTTTGTTATGAAGAAGTCACAGGGGGGGATGGGTGGGGAGGGGGGGTTAGGGAGGGGGAGGGAGAGGGGAAAAAAAGGGGGGGAAATTTGTATTTGAAAACTTTTTCAATAAAAAAAAAAGAAAAAAAAAGAATAGGTTTTGAATGGATGGATGGATGGATGGATGGATGGATGGATGGATGGATGCTGAATGGATATTAGATTGTGTTCAAAAGTAAAGAAGCAAAGAACCAAGGTTGCTTGGTGATAGAAAACGAATGAATGAAAAGTCACTTGAAAAATAAATATATAAAGGAAATTGAAAGAAAGGGGACAACTAAAAAAATTGAGATTCCATGAGGTCCATAAAAGCAGGGAAGAAATTTAATGGTATCAACGGTGAAATCCACTTACCTTCGCTATTGGTTCAGGAACAGGAATTGGTTCAGGGAGTGTATGCACACTATGTGCACATGTACCTCTTCTGCACATGTGCAGAGGGTAAAAAATGGGACTTAATGACATCCCGGGCGGGAGGCAGAGCCTCCCGTCACCGGCGCTACCGGTTCATGCAAGCTGGATAGAATCGGCCAGATTTCACCACTGATTGGTATAATCTAGATTTAGTTACATTTCTTTTTACTTTCTCTTTTTTCATGTGCTTCATTTCTTTATTTACTTTTTATTATTCCATTTCTGTCATTTGCATAATACTGCTTCCTCAAAAGGGAATAGTGCAGGGAATATGCATGTAACTATACATGTATGTAAAAAGATGTTATCATGATTGTGTTAATGTACAGTTAGATG